CTGAGTTTTGATGATAAAAAATGAGTATGTTTGTATGAACAATTTTGATACTCTAATGTTTGTTATTGTTGAGTACTTAAAAACAGGTTCTGCGTCTGATGGATGGCGTGGCCAAGACAATAGAAGAAAACTAGTTCCGCTTTTACACTATACAAGTTCTGTTGAACAATAGCAAGATACTATAGAAGGCTCTGAAGTGTAAGCTATGATGTTTGTGTAAAGAAACTAGTCAGAAGATCTGTAGACAGAAGTTGCTACTTAAGTCCAGATGCTAAAGACTTATGTTTCTGAAGACAACAGGTTCTAAAGAAACATTCAAAAGAATTGAAGACAAAAGTTTATACTCAAGTCCATATGCTAAAGACTCAAGTTTCTTAAAGACCCAAGGTTCTAAAGATAAAGGTTATAAAGACCAAGTACTGGAGACTCTAAAGACATAAGTTCTAAAGATTATAATGACTTGAATTTCTAAAGACCCAAGGTTCCAAGAAAAGGTTCTCACAACCAAGTGCTGAAGTTAGGTCTACGTAATTTATTTAAATACTCCTTAGTAGTCAATGGGCTTCGAAATCTTCACCCAGATATATCTTAATCCACAAGCTGGGGGTTACACCAATTATGCAGAAAAATCTCCTTAAATCTTGGAACAAAACATCAAGTTTCCTAAGTTGTCTCAACATCCAATTTTAAAAACTTATGTACACCTAGAAATCAAATCAGTTGTTCCAGATTAAATCTTCTTGACCTATGCAAATAATTGAGATATATCCAAAAGGAATCTCACAAAATCAAATCAAATATGTAAAAAAAAATAACAGCCTGTACTGATGTTCCGGTACAAAATATCACAACATTTGTCTTTAATGTAGACTGACCAATACGTTAGGATGTCTCACACAACATCTTATTGTGAACCATGTTTTGGAGAAATTGCTATCAATCCTAAAACTATGGATCTAACATATATAATACTAAAAAGGATAGGTGCAACCAATTGGGACCCACCAACCACTGTTCAGGCTTAACTTTTTCCCTGGCCAAGATGATCTTTCTAATTGGAACCAAGTATAAGCTGGATTTTAGAGAGTATATGTTTAACCAAATCATGAAACATGATGATTCCTTTATTGTGAAGCTTCCCATACCTTCCCCTTGTTTAATAACTGAAATTATCTTGAGCCAACACCCTAATATTGTACATGCTGAAGAAATTAAGAATAAAAAGGCAATGACATTGACTCTTGACTATAGGATGTTTGTTGGGACACATTTCCCAAATATTGTAATGTCAAGGATCTAAGAGAAACATGCTAGATGATACTTTTTTCCTTTATCCAAATTCACCAAGAAGGATATACTGCTTGAACTCAAGGAAGTCTCAAAATCCCTTGAAGAAACTATCTAATCAAGCACATTAATGAAGAAGAATATGGATAGGCTGACTTAAATGATGTCCAAAGAAGAGGATGTTGAGGAAGAGGAAGAAGTTGTAAGTGAGGAAGATATAGAAGTTGCGAGTGAGGAAAATGGTGAAAGATCTGAAGACTGAAGTCTTTTAACTTTAGTTATGGTTGGTTGTTGTTGTTTGCTACATTTTATGTTTTGATCAAAGCTTTATTTGGCCCTTGTATATGGGAATGTATTTTGTGATTATGTATGTAATAACTATGACTTATGCACTTAAAACATGGTTCAAGCGACTCCAATTTTGGTACTCAATTATGTTAATGGTTATACTCTATGGCTGTCCAGCTTTATTTTCATGCCTGTGGGTATTTTCTTTGATTTTATTTTTCAAACCTTTGTCAAATTATGGAAAAAGGGAGAGTAATGGTGCATATATGCATGTATGCTTAGCTTATGATGTAAGCTCATGCTTGATGCTTATTTTCTCTTGAGGTGTATTAACCACCTTGCAACTTATCTGATTTGTATGCTACTTTGGTTGTTGTGTATATTCTAATAGTCTGATGTGGAGTGCTACTTTGTGATCATATTATTTAGTTGTGTGCTCATATGCTGGAGCATCTGACCTTCAACTATGTGAGCATGTATATGTGATCAAGTGTGTAAGTCTCACTGATGGTATATGTTGTTGTTGCTTTGAAATGTGTTGTGTGTATTCTCCTGAATGAGAATTGTTTGAAGATTTACTCTTACACATCTTGTAAGTTATTTTAGCCATAATTTTTCAAAGGGGGATTGTTGTTCCTTTTGATTGAATGTATTTTATAAAACAATATTGGGTAGTACAAGATGTATTTTTGGTGAAGATACAACATGTTAAATAAGATGTTCCAGCATGTGTGCAACATGTGACCTCATTCAGCAGGTCAATGTTTGTGAGTTTTTCTGAGCGAAAATATGTTTGATTTCTGGAAGATATGGTGTTTATGATTTGTATCTTTTAGAAATATATTATTTAGTAATATTTTCTAAAATATTTATTAAGACCAAATCAATTTAAATGAAGATTTAATGTTGAATGAATATTAAATCAAATCAAATCTTTTTGTGGATATTTTTAAAGCAAATCAAATATGATTATTCTCAAATCTAATGCCCATTGAAAAAATCCCAGAAGATAGATTGTTATTTAAAGAGACTCATCCCTACCTTTGAAGACACAAGAAGAAAGCATTGAAGGTCTAGTGTGCTAGGGTTTTTGTTCTTTGAGTCTTTGTATTGTTGTTTGTTGTAAACCTCTAAAAAGCATAATCTGAATATTCAATGCATAGAGGTGGATTGTTTAGTTAAGTTGTAACTCAATATTTATAATCTTTTGAAAGAATTTATCACTAGGGTAGTGATTGAGAGAAAGTGAGAGAGGTTCTCATATTTATGGGATTACTAAATAAAAAGTCACAGGTAGTATTAGGAAGACCCATTGAACAAGGTTGATTCATCTAAGACTATTTGTACTAATACTATTGAGAGTGAATTTTTTTTATTGGGTTGAAAGCCCTTCTAGATTTAATTTATATTCCAGTGAACTGGATTACTAATTCTCTTGTATTCTTTATTGCTTTCTGCACTTTTAATTTCTTAGTATTTGTCAATATGATTTAAATTATCGTACACGTTGTCTTAGACATCGTGTCCAACATCTGTCCCAATAAAATATAATTTCAATTTAAAAGTTATCTTTCAAGTCATCCTAAGAAGTACTTTTCCTACCGCCAGTTATACTAAAACTATAAATGAAGATCACTACTCTATTTTGTGGTGTATGGACCAAAAGTTATGGGTAAGTCTAAATACAATCATTTTTTTGAGTTATAGAGAAATACATTTTAAGGACTAGATATTGCTTATATAGAAGTATACTTTTTGGATGTTCGATCTCTAGTATTATTAAAAAGAATGGTATTATTGATATACTCTACTAAATGAAAATCCTGAATAACTCCTAACCACATACTATGGAGAATGATTCAATGTTTCTAACCCATTGAGAATGTGATTAATTTAAGAGATTTAACTTAATGTGGAAGAAGATGAAAAAGACACCGAAGAAAATCTAGTCATTGAAACTAATTTTAGACCCAAAAATCATCAAATGTTTAAACTTTGACTTTGATGTCATAGTCAAAAGAAACACAAGACTAACCCCCTGCACCCAGTGTAACTGTCACTCTAGACAATCATATTGATTCTTCAAAATAAAAATTCAAAAGATCCTCTAGATAAGCCAACATAAACTAACCTTAGATGAAACTTGGGCCGCCATGAATCAAACCCTAGACCTTATCCTAGAAATACTACCCAAGGCCTTAGCTTTTTCTTTTAATTGTTCATCAAGGTATACATATTTTTTATTATAAAAAAAGGGAGATTGTTGAACAAAATTTAGTTTGATGACCAATGTTCTTTGATTTTAGTTTTGATGATATGAAATTTTAAATGTAAGAGATTGAATTTATTCTCTAATATGTATTAAACGTGTAGAGAGCTATTGAAAATATTCTATGTAATTTATCTTCGAAAAAACACGTGAAATCATGCTTCTATCATTTCATTGTCAAGACTAAAGATGAATTCTAAAGAAATCATCTTGATCATTAAGCATCTTAGTATAACATATATTAAAGGATCATTTGAGCTTATGTCTTGAAGACTTCACTTTGTTGCCTTCTAGTTAATACTTTCAACGTTATACTTTGTTGAATATATTCAAACTATTATCACATTTCTCTAATCAATGTTACGTTGCTTAGTCAACACTTTGACTCTCTTCATAGAATATCAAGTTGTTATCCATAGATGAGTTTATCCTTTACCTGCTAATTATGTTTAAAAGTTTAGAATAACTTTGATAGTTTTCCCATTAACACAATTAATTTATATTTGAGAGACAGTTAATAATTGTTCACAGGAAACAAGTAGAAGAATGGACCACGACATGTCATATCCTAATATCTAGCTATGAGTACAAGATTGTGGAATTGCCATATTCTATAGTATTTCAAATGTGAAGAGATTTAACGTAAATTACCCTATCAATCTATTTTTTCTTATCTTTTTACATTTAACATTTCAGTTTGAATTAATTTTTATATTACATTAAGAAAATGTTTTTAAACTCCATCAAAATTTAAATCCTCAACTTCTTGTGCTTTTCTCATCTCCAATAATTTGATATGTGGGTAATGTGATTTTAAAAAAAATAAATTTGTTAGAGTAAAATTATTTTGGTGGTTTATGTTATTTGTGGAGGTATAAGTATAACTGAGGAAGTTAGAAGTAAAATTGTGAGATTCTTCCATTACTTGGCTAGGCCCTTCTTCCAATGGATCTGTTTTTGTTTTATTCTTTTTACAAAACAACCTATTTAATGGAAATTACAAAATTTAAGATAAGAAGGATTATAACACTAAAATTTAGATTATTCCACTAAACTTTAATGACAAATAGCAAAGTTTTTATATTATGCAAGTCAGGTATTACAATGAAAGCAAGGATGAAGAAAAATGTTAAATAACTATACCCTCATTATCTTCTCATTTTCTTGTTCTTCTTTCTCCTTTCTTCACAATCCTTTTCTTCATTATCTTCACTAAAAATTTCTTAAAGCTTGTGAACCAAATAAACTCTTTAGTTTTCCCTAGTGATCCAACATTATTTCCCTTCCCATGGATCTTATCCTCATAATTGTGCACAAGTCTTGTATGTTTCATCATTGATCCATGGTGAGATGGAAACGACATTAGATTCATGTTGATATGATGATCAAGAGAGACCAATTCATGTGAATCATATAAAGGACTTCCACAATCCCACATTGCTATTGCTTTTTCTTCTTCTTCTTTCTCATCAAATTCTTGTTCATCTTTTTCGAATTCTTTTCCACTCATGTTTGATGTTTTCATCTAAATTTTTTTATATTGAGCTTTTTATTGGTTTAGATGGAGCTTCTTATATATAAAACGTTGATAAAAGTTAATTTGTGCTTTTAAAACACATGTTAAAAATATTATTATAGAAACATTTTTTCGGAATTTGTAAATTCAATTTATTAAAATTTTAAATATGATTTTATCATATTTTAGTTGTTTAAATTATAGTATTTTAATATGTATTATAATGACATATGATAGCATGACCCTAAAATATTAAACCTCTTTACAATTTATTTTGGCTTTGACTTCTAAAAGTTTTTGCGACACATCTCATGTTATATTTAATGAAAAAACCTAAATTCTTCTCCGAATTTGAGTGATGTGTCTAAAAAATAGTTGGTTGGGGAAAGTGACAAATAGTATTAACTTAAAATTTGAGTTAAGTACAACTATTGGTGACGATTGATTTGTACAAACCTGTGTGCATGATGTCTCATACCGTGACTCAGCAACCCAATTGTAATTAATGCATTTTGGAAGTTTCAAATTTTCCATTTGTGTGTTTGAGTTTTTTAGGGTGTTGTTTAGCTCTGATTTTTTGATCCTTTAGAGTAATAGGTGCAATACATAAATAGCCACACTTGCATGTGGTTTTGATTTTGATTTGGCACCTTTGTCCTTCTTCTCGTTTTCTAATTATGCAAAAGCTTTTAATTAAATAACTGTACCGTTGAGATTAACCAAAAATCTTATATTACATAAATTTTTAATAATTTAAATGTACGTTTCTCTTGAAAAATTAAATTAGATTTGTTAAAATATTAAATTAAATTAGATTTGATTGAATTTAATATTTAAATATAATTTAAATTATGTAGATCTAAGTCCAATTAGAGTTGTATATAAATAGTTTCAGTCTATATCATTATTGTACAATTCAATAATACAAATTCTTATTTCTTTATTCTCTCTCTATTATCTTCTCACTAAAAGTGTCACGCACTAACAAATTGATATACACAGTTTTTGGTTATTGTTCTTGATCGAGTTTTCAAGAATTTCACGTCAGAGATCGTGTTTCTAAGGCAAGTGAATCAACCGCTGTGAAGATGTTTAGTGATAAGTGCATTTTGAATTCTCTTTCAATGCTTGATGATAAGAGTTGGATCCGATGGAAAAAACAGATGCAATCCTTGTTTGGCTTCCATGAAACCCTAGAAGTGGTTACCGACGATGTTCCTACATTGGCTGCAAATACAACTGATGAACAGAAAAAACCCCACAACAAAGTCAAGAAGAAAGATTGCAAGCTGCTTATTGCATTCAGACGATGATCGATGCTGCTAACTTCGACATAATCTATCATACTGAAACAACGAAGGAGACATGAGATATTCAGGTGAAGTATTACGAAGGAGGTGAGAAAGTCAAGATTGTCAATTTACAAATCTTGCATCGACAATATGAGTTGATGTCGATGATATAAGATGAAAATGTTGCATAATATGTCTCAAAGGTTCAAAAACTCGTCCATTTCAGGAAGGGTTATGGTGAAACTATAACTGATAAGATGATAGTTGAGAAGGTAATGAGAATGTTGACCTCTCACTTTGATCATGTTATCGTAGCTATTCAAAAATCGAACAATCTTGAAACCACAAAAGTGAAATATTTGGTTGGTTCATTGAAGGCGCATGAGATGATGATTATTGAAAGGAAATGAGTTCAGGACTCGATACAGGCACTGCAAGCTCAGTCATGGAAAAAGAATGACGACTCCAACAAATTCAAAGACAAAGTCGACAAGACTCATGGAAAGAAGTCTTGATCAAATCCTCATAAGCATCAAGTCAAATATAGAGCTTCTGAATCCTCGAAAAGAGAAGGAGAAAACTATCGAAATGACAAAGAAGATAAAAAATGTGTGCAATGCTATAATTGTGAAAAGTGGGGTCACGTAGCCAAAAATTATTGGTACCGAAAAGACAAGGGATTGACAAGCAAGGAAGAAGGAGCGAACTTTGCACGCCAATATTCATATGATTCTGAAGGTAGTATGGTGGTTATGGCTGTAGTTTGATCGCGACTTTGTGAGTCTTAAAAAATCTATACCGCAAGTATACAGTCCTATCGCGTGTAGCTTTAAAGATTATCAAATCCCAAGGGACTAAATGTCGAACTACCGTTATCTTAGGTTACTACGTAAATCTAAGGCTAATAATATAATTAATTGGGGTTTGGGAACCTAACTGATTAATATCTAGTTTAGATTCAAGGGGGAATATCGGTATGCAATTGTCGGGCTTCGGGGATTTAGCAACTCGATGACCTAATTCGGATTTATAAAATAGTTATCAGTAGGAGGTATTTGTTTGAAAACCCTCTTCTCACACTCTCGTGTTTATTGATTCAGATCCTACTATCAAACCTAAGTGAGTGCTCTCGCTGTTTCAAATAGAGTTTAAAAATAGTTTTTGAAAACAAATAAAACCTAATTAACTTAAAAGCGCTCTCACTGTATTTTAAGTTAATGCCCAATTATCACTGTCCAGTTATTATCTCAAACTCTCGTTTTATTGATCCTAACTTTTATATGTATTTTACTCTCATAACAAAACAGTTGGTTTTTAGAATTGATAATTGAAACCGGAAAAGTTATTCTTAAAAAGGAACTGATCAATCGGCGTTACCAAAATCCCGTTAGCTATGTGACCTTACATACCGATAAATGAATTTAGCCTAGCATGTTAAACAATTTAGTAACAATGCAACAGAAATAATTATCATCAAAAAATTTAAATAAACATAACATTTCGAACAATCTTGACATAGATAAATAAAATACTTAAATTAAACCTGACAATAATATGGCAGAATATTTGGCTCACTTCAAGTATCTCGCAGAGATTGATGAAAAATAACTAGTGGAAATAAATAATGCGGAGAATATTTTTGGCAGAGTAACACTAAAATTAAAGAGAAGAAAAATGTATTCGAAAAAGGAATAAAAACTCGGAGCTCTCGAACAGGAATTATGAGGCATTATTTATAGGCCTGGAGGTGCGTGGGGGTTGAGATATTTTCTCCTCCCACTTGCCCAGCGTAACGGTCGTTACGCTCCTCTCTTCGAGGAGGATGGAACGTTCGTCATGACCTATTAAAACGGAGAAGGCTGCAACAGTCGTTGTAGACCAAGTCTTCAGGAAGAGCTAGCTGGCAAGGGTGTAACGGTCGTTACACCTAGGCAAGGAGAGTGTAACGGTTGTTACACCTTGGGCTTGGGAAAATTTGGGCCTTCCTTCATTTATTCTTCAGGGCCTTTTTACTTATGATGCGCTTTGTTTTATCATACACCCCATAGCTTCATAATTGTTCATTCTTTATATGGATTTAAGCATGATTGGCACGACTTTTCCCGATTTTCTTTGCATGTGTCTTGTAATAGCAAATTCCTGAAAACATAGAAAATACCGGCATAATACGAATAAAGAATAATAAAGGTAATTAAAATGCGGATAAAATTCATATAAATTAACCTAAATATTCGATACACTTTCGGGGTTATCAAACTCCCCTACACTTGAACATTCTCTTATACTCAAGCAAATAATAGAGTAAAAAACTTTTAATGCACAGTCTCTGACATAATCGCATGACACAAATCGAACCGTACGTGGGTAAGGGGAGATACATTAGAAAGATGGAACTAGGTTCCAACACTAATGATACAGACATGACATAAAACCACATGACATGGTCAAAATCCTCCATCCTATGCAAACTAGTCCGAATTACGCTATCATAGCTTGACCTAATTCTTTTCGTTTGGAATCAACCGCTTTCATTCTAGTGCAATCACATTAAGCCCTTTATCTTTCGCACGCACATAATAGAGTAACCGATTAGCGATTCTGGTCCTTTATGCACGGGTTTCTGGTACGTAAGTTGGTAACCCTTGTTTCTTTTCCAGATTATAAGTCTCGGGGGATCGAACAATAGTTCACCCTACCAAGTTCAGCACCAGATACCACTGAACAGGCTTACAACTGGTTATTACATCAGTTATTATAGGTACCGTAGCTGTTGGATTAAATGACTTGGTGAGGGTCACCTAACTAGTTAGCGCATTCACTATTATATTTTGATGTTTAGCATTTTTTTCTTTACTGATATTTTTTCTGATTAGGACCAGTCACTTATATTCATCGGCTCCCTACGTAGTTTATAGATAAGATGATGCTGACTGCTAGTATAAACCACTCGGGTCGATCCAAAACTAAAACTTAAGGCTTTGGTATCATAACCACTCAAATTGATTTACATAATCTGGAAGATTTAGGTGTCAAGGCGGTATTAATTTTGTCGAATCAACTTTAAAATTTCTAACGTAGCCTAATTGTGAGCAACCTATATACTTTTCAAATGTATCGAGCTAATGCGTCGAGTAACAAAAATTTTATGGTTCAAGATAAGTGTTGAAGTACAAATAACTTACATAAATGATTTTTTTTATTTTATTGAATGTAAAGGGAAATAACAAAAAATTCGAATAACTTACTAGAAAAGTAGAAAACATAACAAAGGTTTCCTCCCCTACACTTGAACTGAGCATTGTCCTCAATAAGACAAATAAAGTGAGAAGAAAAAACAAATAGAAAACTTAAAGAAATAATAGAAATATAAGGAATAAAGAAAACAAAGATCACTCCTCATTGGTATTTCTGACGTCTCTACTGGATGATGCTTCACCTCGTGCCCTTCCTCCACGTGTTCTTACTCTACCTCTTTTGGGTCTAGGAGGTTCTTCGTCAGTGTTGTAAACATAAGCACACAAGCCTTCAACACAAAATGATAGATTACACATTTCATCAGTCAAGTTAGAAATGTCGCGATGGTTCTGGTAAGCATCATTTGCATCAGTTCTTTTTGACACTGATCTTGAAGTAAAAGTGATGCATAAATGGCTTCAATGGTGGACGGCTCAGGATCATTCCCCGCTTGCTCTTGTTGTGGCC